TTATGACCAAAATTGAGGAAGTTACACTTGTTGATCTTTTTCCAAAAAGATTGTCATTTTTTTTGCACACCACTGTATATATGAATTGATCGACAAAAAGGGTTCCAATTTTTCCAGAATCGATTTCCATATTTAGTATATCCTGACTCAGTCATATTTACTTTGTTGACAATCATTTCATCAACAATCATTTCATCAACACCCATTTCATTGAAAGTTTGTTTCATCAAAAGTTCATTGTCAAAAATTATTTCATCCTCAAGTCAGAGACCGAATTAGTTAGATGTGAGGAGTGTGGGAAGTTAGCTAAGAAATTAGGCAAGGAAAGCAGAGTGTGTGGGAAGTGTGAGGAGAAATTTGTTTAATGAAGTTTTTTTTTTGTGACGAAATAATTTTCAACAAAATGAACTTTCAACAAAATGAACTTTTGATGAAACAAACTTTTGACAAAACAAACTTTTGACAAAATGAGTGTTGACAAAATGATTGTCAATGAAATGAATCAGACCCAGGTTAATAATTTATTTATTTGTATTGGTAACTAACTCTGGAAGCTATATTTACTTTGATGTATGTAATTTGAACACAAATGAATTTTTTTAATATGTGCAGTGTGATATATATAAAAAAATATAAGATTTAAAATTTTTGCATAATAAACTGAACACAAAGTCTCATCCACATTAAAAATTAAATAATCATATTACATCATTATTAAACACTTTGCTTTCTTTATAATTTACTATGTTCATTTCCTTTTTTTTTGATGATGTGAAGTACAAGACATTCCTTTTAATTATGCTTATGGTTAGTTATTTGTGAATGAAAGTTGTGTTTGTGTTCCGTAATAATTTTTTTACATTCTCAAGCAATTTCTTTAATAAAATGACTTCAATATAATATCATCAACACCCTAGCAAAGAAATAAAACCTCTATGATAAAATGGTCAAAACTTTCATTAAGTGTTTTGATGTGTAAATAATTACCAGTTTAATTTGATAATCTCAAATTAATAATTAGCTAATTCAAAACTGATATTTCAAGATTGAAATAATTTTCTTGCCTGGATTTCTAATTGCAATTAGGAAAGAAGCCTCCTTTTACATTAATCCAAAAAGTTAATTTCAAAAGATAATGTTTGCATAACACATAAATAAATACTATAATAAAATAATAAAATCGAATTGAGATTCCATGTTTATTCAGTTACTCAAACATATATATCAAATTATAAATTCCTTTATGAAACTAATAATAAATAAACAAATGTTAATGTCAATTGATGAAAGGATTTCTTCTGGAAAATCTTTTATGATCAAATGTATTAAAAGAGAGAAAAAAACTTGAAGCATTAAATAGAATGAATGAAAATACTCAAGTCTCTTTATTAAAAGAAGATGCTAAGATTGAAGAATTAGAAAAAGGATTGAAAGAAAAAGAAATATTGGTCGACTATTTGAAAACTAAGTTAAGGAAGAAGAAGAAAAGGCTGGATGCCACTTAAATTCCTTAGAAGTAGCCCAAGAATGAAGTAAAAGGCAATTAGCTGAAAACTTGGAGCAATTAGAGACAGTCAAGAGCCAGGTATTCTCTTGACCTTACAAGGTAAGGGAAATGAATTGCAAGAAATAAAATAACAAGCCCAAGAAATTCAGCAATTAAACCAAGAATTATATTTAGCCAATAAGCTTTTGTCAGTATTACTAAGGAAAAAAAAAATTGCAAAAATTACAAAAAAGATAACTGAGAAATTCACCTAAAAAGGAAACAAGAGCAAATAATTGAAGTAAAACCCAAGGAATCCAAACCAATCTATACCAATTCTTTTTTGTCAAACTTATTTTTAACTTCTTTGATCTTTAAAAGATAATATATTCATTATATTATTCTAAGATAGACAGCAAATTATTTCTCTACTGATTTTATTTTCTTTCTGTCTCTTTGTGGGGTTCTGTGTTAATTTTCTTTTATTAGTTATGATTTTTCTCTCCTGCTGGTTAATTTCATAAGTAATCTTTTCTTTATTTAGATAAGTTTCCAATTACCAAGTATCATTTATTTAGAAAATATAAGGAGCAATTTTCTCACCTTGTTCTTTTTTCAAAATACTTCTGATAGTACTGTGAGTGTGTGATTTTCAGCACTACAGCTCATGAGGTGTCCAATAATAATATACAAATAATAATATAAATTTCAATAAAATATAATCAATACAGCTGACACACAGACTTACAATTACAATAATGCCTGACACATAGGACTTCCAAATAGCTATATCTATATGCCTAAATGCTTTCTAGGCAGATGCTCTCTTAACCATTTCCCCCTGTATTACTAAAGAAATATATACAAGGACTATTTACAACTAGAGATGGAAATTTCAAAATTTCATGCGCATGATGTGCATGATGCACATCATGCATGTTATATGCATTGCATTTTTTTAAAAAATATATAATATATCAAAAAAAATATAAAAATAAATATCTAAATACAATTTTCAATATTATTATCACTACCACTGCCTTATTCTTTGCCACTTTTTATTCTAATTGTTTCATTATCATCAGTTTTATCATTTTTGCTTCCCACATTTCCATCACCATCAATTGTAATATCCATATTATCATTGTTGGTATTTTTTGGACATTTTAATTTGTGATTAAAATAAATATACACCAATTTAAAACACATTCAGGTGTCAATAGTTTATTTCTCTTTTTATCATTTATAAAAGAAAAAGTAAACCAATTCCTTTTAGAAGCAAAGCTGATGAAATAGGAGCTGAAATTATCGATTCTACTCAGTTTAACAAATGAGGCAAAATTTTTGATTTCGTTATTTCTTAAAAATACAATCAATAGTATAATCAATAATAACTTGGTAAAATTAATAATTCACATTTTTTTTTTTGAATAGAATTATGTATGGACATTGCATGATTTGAAAAAAAATCATGCGCACGTCACATCCCTAGTCGCGCTTATTTTTATCTCCTTCACAAACTCAGGATAGCAACACTTTCTCTTTTCAAAAGCTCATCAATTTTATCTCTTATCGCCTCTCGTGAATGCTTTGGGTATTATCTCAATCTATGGGAGCTTTAGTTGTTTGTAAAAATGATCAGTGGTGATAGAGACGCTATTTTGCTTTTTTTTTTTGTAAATTCTCAAAAATTCATTTGATTACAGAAGATTTTTCAGAAGGTCCTCTAACAATCAGTATTAACATTGGTTTACTCATTTCGGTAATCTCTTCTACTGACTTATTACAACCATTACTATTTCAATAATTGAATATCTTATTCGATACTGTTTTCCATATGTGTAATGAACTTTGTCAGCAAAGTTCAAATGATCAGCAAGTTATTTAACTAATTAACAGTTCAAAGTTCAAATTGTTCAAAAAAAGATTTGAACCGGTTAAATTGACAATTCTGCATGATATAATCAATGATATAAGTGATTATATAAAAAAATATTGATGTATTGTTCACAATTAGACAAGAATGTTCTCTAAATTATTGAATGATACAATCAATGGCAAGATAATAAAACATGATTGATGATACAACTGCTGAGATAATAAAATATTAATGCATTATTCATGATAAATCATCAAATGATTAAAGTGAAAAAAGTACATGGCTGTCCATGATCTTTCCATAGTGTTATCAGTAATTCTTTCCATCTTTGTAATTGTGCTTAGATGGCTTGCTATACTTTTAATGATATAAATTTCTGGATATAATAATTCATTATATTGTTTTAGTGAGATAGGAAGAGCATGAGATAGATATTGAAATTTTGCTATTAGCCCATCCAAATTGCAGACTTCTTTTTTCATCTCTGAAATAATTTCATCTTTGACCTCTTCACTATCTGAATAAGCTTCGCTATTCTGATCAAACAATGATAAATATTGAAGCGACTTTTTACTTAAATATTTATCCTCACTTTCTGAAGAAAGCCTATCATGTAGTAATTTCAATTCTTCCACATCCAAAAGATTATGTACTTCATTAATATTTCTTGATTTTTCATATCTATTACATAGTAATTTGAACCTGTTTCACAGGTTCTCCATATTTTCTTGAGTTTCTTATAATATGCAAGAAATTCAACATTTCTGAATGTATTAGTGGTTTTGGCAATTGAATGCAAAATATTTTCTTGAATAACAGTTTCTTCAACCAATTTTCACCAGTTTTGGTCTGTATACATAAATATTCAAGCAAAAAATTAAAATAATGTTTTTTCTATTATATATAAGTTACAATCTGTACCAACCTTCTTGTTCCCCTGAGTTAGAACCATCAAGAGCATGTTTGGATGCAGGTGTTGTATTAACAGGAAAGGAATTTGAAAATTCTTCTGAGGATAAATCGTCAATATTATATTTCCCAGCTTTATCTAGGAGGTCAAGACTTCCAAGAATATAGGTGTGTTTCACATCAAACTAATTGCATATTGATCTAGGTTTGTAGTATCTTAATATGATTAATAAAAGAAAAACAATGATATTTAAGACCTGACATACTTTTTTCTGTTCATGGATCACATTCTCCCAATCCGCCTTTACTCGACAAGCACTTTAATTTCCCACTCCTATCCTAT